GAAGAAAGGAGAGATGGGAAGGTAGGAAGGAAGGGGAGAGATGGGAAGGAGGAGATAGGGAGGGAGGGAGGGAGGGGAGGAGGGAGGATGAGGGAGGGAAGGAGAGAGAAAAGGAATGGAAGGCAGGGAGGGAGGGAGGAAGGAAGGAAGGTAGAAAAGAGGAAGGGAAGGGAGGGAATGATGGAGGGAGAGAGGGAAGAAGGAAGGAAGGAGAGGGAGGAAAGAAGGAAGGAAAGAGAGGAGAGGGAGGAAGGAGGGAGGAAGGAACGAACGAGGGAGGGAGGGAGGAAGGAACGAACGAAAGAGAAAGAAAGAAAGAAAGAAAGAAAGAAAGAAAGAAAGAAAGAAAGAAAGAAAGAAAGAAAGAAAGCCCCCAAATGACATTAGTTGAAGGTGGTCTTGAAGAAGGACCCCAGAGTTATTCTGGGGAGGCACCGATGAACACAAAAGCACAAACGCACACCAGGCCCACTCGTGAGGCAGCCTAAAAGTCAAAAAATCCTCTGTCTCCGGGAAGGGCAGCCGAGGGGGAAACAGCCAAGATCAGATGTGTGTGTGTGTGTGTGTGTGTGTGTGTGTGTGTGTGTGGAAACAAACCAATTTACTCAATAAAAAATAAAATACAATAAAACAAACTCACCATCTTGTTGATGAGCAGAGGCAAGAAGCCGGCAAAGTAGGGGGCGAAGGTGTCCCCTCCGGTGGCTTCGGCCAGGATGGGGATCATCTCCCCGGCGTACTCGATCAGCATGGAGTCGTATTCCGCCTGCTGGGGAGGAGGAGAGGAGAGGAGAGGAGCCGGGGGAAGAGAAGGGGGCTGTGTGAAGGCGTGTCGTTCCTCGAACCCAGAACCCCCCCCTGCCTGTCCTTCACCAAAGATGGAGGCTCGCCCAATCCCCTAGGCAAGCCGCCTCCGTTAAATGAATCGCCGCGGCCGTTCGATGGCATCTGAGGGGGTGGTGGGGGTGGGATGGCCAGTCTTACTTCGTCGTCGTCGTCGTCGTCTTCCTCTTCCTCATTGTCCTGGCAGGCGACCTACGGAGGGGAAGGAGGAGGAAAAGTCACTCGCCCGCAACGAAAACGGCTCCCCGTTTGCCCAAGAGCGCCTGGAAAAATTAATAATAATAATAATAATAATAATAATAATAATAATAATAACAACAACAATAATAATAAAGTTGGAAGGGACCTCGGAGGTCATCTAGCCCAACCCCTTGCTCAGGCAGGAAACCCTACCCCGTTTCAGACAAATGACTCTCTGGTTGCACGGAGTCGGGGTCCGATGTCGCAGGGGGCCATACGCGTCGCCCCCGACTTACGGCCGCAAGGGAACCCCCCCTCTCATTTCTGTCGCTAAGCGAGGCAGTGAAGCGAGTTTGGGCCCACTTTAGGACTTTTGCCCCCCACCCCCCGTTATTAAGCGAATCGCCGGCGTCGTGATGCGAACCGTGCGGTCGTTGAGCGAACCCGGCTCGCCGCACGGACTCTCCTTTTCGGAAGGTCGCAAATCCACAGCGACCGTCATCAACACGAGTCGGCCGCCAGGCGCCTGCCTTTGGATCCCGTGACCGCGGGGAGGCCGCGACGGGCGCTAAGCGTGCAACGCGGGCGCTAAGTCCTTTTTTTTTTTTTAGTGTTGC